TCTTGCAACCACAATTATTAGAATGCACATCAATGCAGTACTCTGTTTCTGGTTCAGTAATATATATGAAGTACATCACTGATTATTCAGCACTGCTGGGGAAGGGGGTGCCAGAATTAATAAAAAAGTTATGGATAATCATGTTATTTTTTTATACAGTAGGACCCCCATATCCATGGGTTTGGTTTCTGCAGTTTCAGTTATCTGCTATTTACCATGGCCCAAAAATAATAACCCTTAATTTTGCTTATTAATGACACCAAAGTGCAAAAATTGTAATGGTGGCAGTTCTTCAAAGCCTAAGAGAAGTCATTAAGTACTTCCTATCCATGAAAAAGTGTTAATTCTCAACTTATTGCATGCAATCTATCAATTAAACTATATCATAGATATGTATGTAAATGAAAAATGACATATACATGTATAGAGTTCACTACTATTAGTGGTTTCAGGTATCACGGTAGGTCGTGGAACATATTCCTCACAGATACAGGGGTGGTACTGTACTTCTTATTTCGCACCTTTCTTTTTAGCATTATCTGTTTAGGAGTTGTATATGTTTTAAATGTGTCTGCTATACGGTGGACCCTCGGTTATCGGCCGTAATCCATTCCAGAAGGTCGGCCTAAATCTGAAAAGGCTGAAAGCCGAAATAATATTTCCCATAAGAGGGAGGTGAAAGTGTATAAACTAAGGGAGGAGGAAGTTCGGGTGAGATATAAGCGACTATTGGCAGAAAGGTGGGCTAGTGCAAAGATGAGTAGTGGGGGGGTTGAAGAGGGTTGGAAGAGTTTTAAAAATGCAGTATTAGAATGTGGGGCAGAAGTTTGTGGTTATAGGAGGGTGGGGGCAGGAGGAAAGAGGAGTGATTGGTGGAATGATGAAGTAAAGGGTGTGATAAAAGAGAAAAAGGTAGCTTATGAGAGGTTTTTACAAAGCAGAAGGTTATAAGAAGAGCAGAGTATATGGAGAGTAAAAGAAAGGTAAAGAGAGTGGTGAGAGAGTGCAAAAGGAGAGCAGATGATAGAGTGGGAGAGGCACTGTCAAGAAATTTTAATGAAAATAAGAAAAAAATTTTGGAGTGAGTTAAACAAGTAAGAAAGCCTAGGGAAAGTATGGATTTGTCAGTTAAAAACAAAGTAGGGAGTTAGTAGATGGGGAGATGGAGGTATTAGGTAGATGGCGAGTAATATTTTGAGGAACTTTTAAATGTCGACGAAAAAGGGAGGCAGTAATTTCATGCACTGGTCAGGGAGGTATACCATCTTTTAGGAGTGAAGAAGAGCAGAATGTAAGTGTGGGGGAGGTACGTTAGGCATTACGTAAATGAAAGGGGGTAAAGCAGCTGGAACTGATGGGATCATGACAGAAATGTTAAAGCAGGGGGGGATAATAGTGTTGGAGTGGTTGGTACTTTTGTTTAATAAATGTATGAAAGAGGGGAAGGTACCTAGGGATTGGCGGAGAGCATGTATAGTCCCTTTATATAAAGGGAAAGGGGACAAAAGAGACTGTAATAATTATAGAGGAATAAGTTTACTGAGTATACCAGGAAAAGTGTACGGTATGGTTATAATTGAAAGAATTAGAGGTAAGACAGAATGTAGGATTGCAGATGAGCAAGGAGGTTTCAGAGTGGGTAGGGGATGTGTAGATCAAGTGTTTGCATTGAAGCATATATGTGAACAGTATTTTAGATAAAGGTAGAGAAGTTTTATTGCATTTATGGATTTAGAAAAGGCATATGATAGAGTGGATAGAGGAGCAATGTGGCAGATGTTGCAAGTATATGGAATAGGTGGTAAGTTATTAAATGCTGTAAAGAGTTTTTATGAGGATAGTGAGGCTCAGGTTAGGGAGTGTAGAAGAGAGGGAGAATACTTCCGGTAAAAGTAGGTCTTAGACAGGGATGTGTAATGTCACCATGGTTGTTTAATATATTTATAGATGGGGTTGTAAAGGAAGTAAATGTAGGGTGTTCGGGAGAGGGGTGGGATTAAATTTGGGAATCAAATTCAAAATGGGAACTGACACAGTTACTTTTTGCTGATGATACTGTGCTTATGGGAGATTCTAAAGAAAAATTGCAAAGGTTAGTGGATGAGTTTGGGAATGTGTGTAAAGGTAGAAAGTTGAAAGTGAACATAGAAAAGAGTAAGGTGATGAGGGTGTCAAATGATGTAGATAAAGAAAAATTGGATATCAAATTGGGGAGGTGGAGTATGGAAGAAGTGAATGTTTTCAGATACTTGGGAGTTGACGTGTCGGCGGATGGATTTATGAAGGATGAGGTTAATCATAGAATTGATGAGTTAAAAAAGGCGAGTGGTGCGTTGAGGTATATGTGGAGTCAAAAAACCTTATCTATGGAGGCAAAGAAGGGAATGTATGAAAGTATAGTAGTACCAACACTCTTATATGGGTGTGAAGCTTGGGTGGTAAATGCAGCAGCGAGGAGACGGTTGGAGGCAGTGGAGATGTCCTGTTTAAGGGCAATGTGTGGTGTAAATATTATGCAGAAAATTCGGAGTGTGGAAATTAGGAAAAGGTGTGGAGTTAATAAAAGTATTAGTCAGAGGGCAGAAGAGGGGTTGTTGAGGTGGTTTGGTCATTTAGAGAGAATGGATCAAAGTAGAATGACATGGAAAGCATATTAAATCTATAGGGGAAGGAAGGCGGGGTAGGGGTCATCCTCGAAAGGGTTGGAGAGAGGGGGTAAAGGAGGTTTTGTGGGCAAGGGGCTTGGACTTCCAGCAGCGTGCGTGAGCGTGTTAGATAGGAGTGAATGGAGACGAATGGTACTCGAGACCTGACGATCTGTTGGAGTGTGAGCAGGGTAATATTTAGTGAAGGGATTCAGGGAAACCGGTTATTTTCATATAGTCGGACTTGAGTCCTGGAAATGGGAAGTACAATGCCTGCACTTTAAAGGAGGGGTTTGGGATATTGGCAGTTTGGAGGGATATGTTGTGTATCTTTATATGTGTATGCTTCTAGACTGTTGTATTCTGAGCACCTCTGCAAAAACAGTGGTAATGTGCGAGTGTGGTGAAAGTGTTGAATGATGATGATGAAAGTATTTTCTTTTTGGGGATTTTCTTCCTTTTTTGGGTCACCCTGCCTCGGTGGGAGACGGCCGACTTGTTGGAAAAAAAAAAAAAAAAAAAAAAATTATCTATTCCAGACACCCAAAAATATTAACAAAAAATACATTTTTTAAAGATTAACTATAGTTTTACATAAACAAAACAATGAGGAAGAAATATAAAGCACTAATTTTAATAATAAATGAACATTACATACCTTTATTGAAGACTTGTTATCTCTACCACCATCACTACCACTCTACCACACTCACTACCACCATCACTACCACTCTACCACACTCACTACCACCATCACAACCACTACCACCCTCTACCACCACCCTGTACCACCATCACAATCACTACCACCATCACTACCACCCTCTACCACACATCACTACCATGCTCTACCACCATCACAATCACTACCACCCTCTACCACCATCACTACCATGCTCTACCACCATCACAATCACTACCACCATCACTACCACCCTCTACCACCATCACTACCATACTCTACCACCATCACAATCACTACCACAATCAATTCTATAGTGTTTCTCACTTTCTTTACCCATGATGGCTTATTTTGCAGTTGCACTCAATAAACAACCACAAAAAACAATGGATTATAATGAAATGTTTGGATGAATGCATGAAATCTTGTTCACTCACCCAGACACACAGCCAGACTGACTCACGAACGCGGCGGAATGGTGGGCATACGCGTCCAATACGGCTGATTTCCGAGTTGCCGGCTGAAATCCAGGATAGAATTTCGGCGAAAAAAGCGGCCAAAATTCGAACTGGCCGATATCCGGAACGGCCGATATCTGAGGGTCCACTGTATACATAAATCAAAATAAATCCTTAAAAGTTTAAAGCTCTGACAAGTCATAAAACCTTTTTTTCCAAATATTCTTTAGGCCTTTTACAGAATGACTATACAGTATGCACATCAGCACTCTAAACTTCAGCATAGATTCTTCGAAAGGCAGTCCATTCTATTAAAGAAGAAAAAAAAAAAAAAAGATCTGTCACCCATTTGTTGTACTAAAATTCTCCACTTCCATGAAATCTGCAAGTCTTTTTTTTTTTTTTTTACCCCAAGACAAAGCTAAACACCCTATACACAACAGCAACACCAACACTTCACTGCAACTTGTACCATTTCAGAACAGCATCATCTAATTCTGGTTTCACCAACACTTTCATATTTTTCCTTTCATTAAATTTATCTGATTTCTTTCCCAAGACATGTTTTGCATAATAGCCTTTTACTTTCATTATGTTTTATAAACAATATTTTTCAGTCCTAATACTGTCACCATGATCACTGGCTGAGCTACTCACAGTTGTTTTATTATTTTGATTTGTCAATTATTAATGATTTTCAGTTAGTCATTGACAGATTAACACGTTTTCTTTTAATTTTCTTATCTACCTTAAAAGCCATTACGTATTTGACTTCTCCAGGGAATACACAAATAGTGGTGGTGGTTTGAAAAATGAAATGAGGCACTAGAAATGCTGCGATTTGGTGTTCAGAAGAATACTGGTGATTGTCTGAGTGTGCCAACAAATGATAAGATAATCAGTAGCATGCAGACCATATGGTATCCAACTGCAGAAGAAACTAGTGATTTTCCAGTGATCACCGGATTATTCAACTAATTGCCAGCTTGAACAAAATCACTGGATAATATCAGTTGCCAGATAAGTAACTGCCAGATAATCAATGACTTGCTGTATTTACCGATTATTATTATCATCGTTGTGACCGTATTCTAAAATTTTTAATCACCCCTAAAGATGTTAGAACCTAAAGAGATGTATGGGCAATAAAAAATAAATTCATGTTCTGAAAGAAGCATTAGTTTTCTGCTTACACTTCCATTGTGAGTACAGTACCTTGTTCCATGGGATGTTGACATTATAGCCTTCCCCTGCACCTGTGCCAACCCGGTCATAGTTTGCATCTTCAGAGGAAGGAAAGAAGAGCCCATGGTCATATCGGTGAATAGAGATGTAAAGGACATGTGGATTGGATTCGAAGGCATGTTGAATTCCATTTCCATGGTGAACATCCCAGTCCAAAATTAACACACTGTGTAACAGCAAAAAAACAGAATAATTCGCTAATGACTTGCATAATGGCACCACATCTAACTACCAAAGCAAATACAGTTTCTCTGTTTTAAAACTAACATCACAATGAAAATATGAAGAGATCATTTTTATTTTATTATCACACTGGCCGATTCCCACCAAGGCAGGGTGGCCCGAAAAAGAAAAACTTTCACCATCATTCACTCCATCACTGTCTTGCCAGAAGGGTGCTTTACACAACAGTTTTTAAACTGCAACATTAACACCCCTCCTTCAGAGTGCAGGCACTGTACTTCCCATCTCCAGGACTCAAGTCCGGCCTGCCGGTTTCCCTGAATCCCTTCATAAATGTTACTTTGCTCACACTCCAACAGCACGTCAAGTATTAAAAACAACTATAATTAATAAGATCATAAAAATTGGTTAGATTATAAAAAAATTGATATTAGAAAAGATACAAAATATATATAAAAATCTAACATGTAGCCAGTGAGTACCCAAATGCAAAGCCAATGTTTGCATTTAACTTTTGCTAAAGTAATCAACTAGATAATCAAAAGAGGAGTGCCAAGTCTCCAAAATAAAGAGTAAAATTTTTTTTGTAAAGGTTACAATGAGTAATTACTGTTCAATATATCTCACAACACCGTTCTTTTATGAAATACATGTAATCTTAAATAATTAATGCTTCCCTTCCTCTCCCTCCTGACTCTCTTTTCACCGCTCCACCTCTCTCTACCTTGGTGGAGCTTATATAAAAAAAAAAAGCGGGAGCTAGGAGCTACAAAAATGAGATACAACAGCATGGTTTAGAAAGACAAGCGAGTAAACATATGAGAGTATGAATGGTACACGTATACTTACAATCAATTTAGGTAAATGACCTCATCTGCTGCATTTGAATATTTATTTAGGCTACAATTCACTTGGTGGGGCTTGCTAAAGCTCCTGGCAAGAAGACAGCCTAAATAAATATTTATCTAAATACTGCAAATGTGTATTTACCTACAAAAATAAGAAAGGTGGCACGTACATATGAATTTACACATTCAACATTCATGGCAGAATACACAAGCAAATAAATTACCGTTGGTATCCATACTGTCTGAGGGCATATTTGGCAGCAATAGCAACATTGTTATAAAAACAGAAACCATATGGATGGGTGTGCTCAGCATGGTGCCCAGGTGGTCGCACTACACCAATGCCACTTAGGGTTTCACCACTGCACACACTATCCACAACCTGTAAGAGCAAGTGTAATTAGGGCCATGTCACAATAATAAATAATAATTAATTAACGTACAGTATTCCAATTTACAGCAACATATTGCTGTATAAGGAAGAGTTTAAAAAATGCTGATATAATGAATTAAAGAAAGCTTAAAAGATATTTAACCATACTAAGAAAAGAAGTATAAATTAGAATTCTTTGTTGCATGCATTATAGATACAAATATATTTTTTGTAATAGCATAAAAAATTTGATAAAATTTATTAGGTCACTTTATATGTAGGTTTCATACCTGTAAGAGACTACCAACAGCTAGCAGAGCTGCATCATTGCTCATGGCATGAAAGTATATAGATGTGTATTTATCCTGCAGGTGCTTAAGCTCCTCTTCACTTAATGACCCCATGTTATACATGAAGTCTACATGCTCTTTGGTATGTACAAGTTCCACTTCTTCCCGAGTAGCTCGGCGGGACTGAAAATTTGACAAGCTGCTGGTTTAAGGAAATAATGCAATATGTAATGCAATTAAATACTATGCAGTATAAGACAAAGTTACAATAATGTAGACAAACCCTAACTGCTATATTAATATAGTAGTAAGGATAATTATCTATCTTGAAAATTTCCATACTTTGCTTTCCAGAGTCTACTGAAATAATTTATTAAATCTTTGCTGAAATATGCTATAATTCACATATCTAATGAAATCCAGTTATTAAGAAGGATGACCATTACTATATTTACCTGGAGAACATTCGCTCGGTTTATAATGCCATAGTGATTCATGTACTCCCAGATTTTTGTTGTTCTTTCAGGTCTTTCTGGATGTTCACTGAGAGAGCAATTTTGTATACATCAGATTAAGGAGATAAGCAATTTGATATATGTATGCACATCATATACAGTAATTTTTTTATCCATGACAATTACAGAAATCTGGAATACTGTATTTAAGGATACCTGCATTGTAATTCAGTAAATTGAGTACATATTGTACAGTATTTCAGAGAAACTGATGCCACCGTGAAAGCAAGAGATTCCTGAATTAAAAATAAAAATAGAGAGAGTGATTGAAATAAAATTAAGCAGCAAATTGGTACATTGTCTAGCTTCAAGCATCACAATGCCTTTTGTTTGCACTGATGTTAACCATAAGCTTAAAAATTTTATTTCCCATTCATAAAAAAAAAAAAAAAAATGAGTATTTTTTTTATTATCACACTGGCCGAATTCCCACCAAGGCAGGGTGGCCCGAAAAAGAAAAACTTTCACCATCATTCACTCCATCACCGTCTTGCCAGAAGGGTGCTTTACACTAGTTTTTAAACTGCAACATTAACACCCCCTCCTTTCTTCTTTAAGGAAGAAAATTAAAAATGAGTAGTACAGGGAAAATACAGAGAAAATAATTAGATCATTTCTGATGTAGCAAATGTGAAATAAATAGTGGAGAGTAGACCGGAAAGAAAAAAGAAAATTGAAATAAGCTAAAGGTTGCCTGATGCTGTGAGGGTGCGTCAGAGCCGACCATATGGCTAAACCAGACCAGAGATCTATAGCGCTAATAAATATGATATTCACACCTAAAAACTTGCAAATGAGATGGAAGTAAAATTACAAAAATACAAGATGGTTCCCAGAACTTAAAAAGAAAAAAAAAAAAAAAAAAAAAGTAATGATAAGAGAAAACAAGAGAAATTAAAACATACATGTACAAGGTTGTGTGTAAAGGATATGAGAAAACAGATAGAGGAGACATCTTGGTATCAACTTAAACCCACCAAGAGGCCACAAGTATAATTTGAGGAAAAGGTGGTGCCAAACGGAAACTAGAATTTGTCTTTACAAACAGTGGTAGAATATTAAAATGGAATCAAAGTGGTAAATTCTGTATAACAAAGCTAATTCATGTTAAGGCAAACAAATATTAAGTAGTGGGTCCAAGAGCTGAAGTGCTCTCCATAGGATACTTCTTTTTTCTTCCTTTCAACATACCAGCCATATCCCACTGAGGCAGGGTGGCCCAAAAAGAAAAACGAAAGTTTCTTCTTTTAAATTTAAGTAATAGATACAGGAGAAGGGGTTATTAGCCCCTTGCTTCCGGCACTTTAGTCCCTCTTACGACACGTACGGCTTACGGAGGAAGAATTCTGTTCCACTTCCCCATAGGATACACAAACCATAAATGAATAGGGAACAGCAGTATAAAGGAAAGGAAGGCAACTCTTATAACTCATAAGCAGAACAAACAAAATACTAAGTGCTATTACACACAAATAAAATTCCTGTAAATTTTCCCAGCATATAGTTCATTTTTTCAATGACAATGTTGCTTCATCCTTTCCCATATCTATCTATCCATTATTAAAGTATCCTAATCAACAGAAAAGTGATTATTTCTTCTGTTTATCATTAATCATACACTCACTGTACTTGAATACTATACATACACCCATACTTTCATTCTTAGCTTATCAAAACTATCCTATGCAACATGTGTACTGCCTTGTGCCATAACTCTCCCCATACATACATGAAACCTGCCTGGTCAGAGATCAGGTTGTAATTACTGGATCAAGCATTCACCATTTTGCTCTGAATTATTTAACTCTTCACAAAAACAAATAGTACAATCCTCTTATAAAATCTCAGCAGTGCCTTGCCTTATACCTCTCTTCACACAACCTTTCTACTACCTTGTTCTACAACCTCTTCATACATAACCTTTCTATGATTTTGTTCTACAGTTCTCTTTATACATAAGCTTTCTACAGCATTTTCATACCTAATCTTCATACATAACATTTTTACTTCCTTTTTCTACACGTCTCTTCCATTTTAAATGGAAATAAAATACGTATAGGAAACACAAGTAGACCATAATTACCCATGTGAATGTGAATGACATTTTAAAATACCAATAAGTAAGACTTGCTCAACACTAGGAATCTTTCATGATGAAAACGTTCACTTGCACTGCAGGTTCCACCAGCTAAATTCAAGGATGAATTATAATCCCTGGAGAGAGCAAATGGAGTGGCAAGGTAGTTTGAGGTAATCAGTCCCTCAACCTCGATGGAAGAAATCCTGGAGACAGTAGATGAAGTGGATAAGCTAAGAGACTGAATATCTTTCACCAAGGCTGTGGAATGCTTACCTCAAACTAACTCGCCATGACATCTACTGTCTTCAGGACTGTAATACATCCCTCCAGCTGAGATGAAATATTTTGTCATTAACAATACATAGTATCAAACATAAGTCTTACTCATCCAACTGATAGAATCTTATACTATTTATAATACTTCACATTAAAACTTTGATACTTGTCAACCACACATATTCTATTTTTATTAAATTTGCTTGTGTAGTTCCAAAAATTTAAATGAACAAAGCATCTTTGATAATAAACCATACCCCGGCCGGGACTGAACCCGCGGTCAGAGAGTCTCAAAACTCCAGCCCGTCGCGTTAGCCACTAGACCAGCTAGCCACAATAAGATTCGTCCAACTAGGTATATTTCTACACCATAGGAAGGTTAGCACAGGCACCTCTGTGACCACAAATGCAAGTTTTTACAGACGAATCTCCAGCTAGCGTGGCCGTGATGAACTCTAGCTCAAGTCATTACGATTTCGTGAGCCATCTTTGATAATACAAATACCCTGATTTACCTAAAGTTTGCATCACGCTAAGATTAACCCTTAAATCGTCCAAACGTATATATACGTTTTTTCAACATCTGAAAGTATGTAAAAAAATGTAGATCTTCTTTTTGTTTTACATTTGAAAACGTGTAAAAAAACTTTTATCTACAATTTTTTTTTTTGTTACATTTGAAAATATGTAAAAAAAGTAGATCTACTTTTGTAGCACTACAAATTTGAACGTCGATTTGTTTGGACCGTTTAAGGGTTAAACAATACATTAAATATTTTTCAAACTTCCTATGCAATACATACCAAAAATGGTAAAAATGTTATTATGTTCTACTTACACTTCAGACAAACTTTTATGACTGCTCATCTCTTCATCATATACCAAGCTGAGTCTAGCTTCAAGCAGAGGTTTAGTCCTTTCTGAAAAATATTACATGAACAATTCAAACCACCATAACTCTATTAATTTAAAATTATTTAACTGACACACTCCAGAACCTTTGATATACCCTTAAGTTTTGAGAGTGTCTACTGCAGCTCAGCCCTGGACCAGGCTTCTCTTGTGCTTATCTGGTCAACTAGACTATTGCTGCTGGCCCACATATCCATCAAAGCCTGGTTGATGTGGCACTTATGGAGTTTTTTCTTGAAAGGAAAGATAAGGATTTTTTATATAAACAAGTCTAACAGTGCTATATAGTATGAAGAAAGAGATTAGCGAATTTTATGTGCAGTAGTCTAGGTGGTGCTTAGGTTGCAATATCCCCACCTCTCCTTCAGAGTGCAGCAATGTACTTTACACCTCCATGACAAGTCTGGCTAACTGGTTTTTCCAGAATCCCTTCATAAGAGTTACCCTGCTATACAATAAAAACGATCAGTAAAGGACACAAGCACAACTAATGTGACATTTTATTGTGGCAATGTTTCGCTCTCCAGGAGCTTTGTCAAGCCGTTATGCCTTGACAAAGCTCATGGTGAGCAAAACATTGCCACAATAAAATGTCACATTAGTTGTACTTGTGTCCTTTACATACTGTCGGTAATTTACCAAAATATATACAATAAAAATGCTTGTCTTTCAACAGACCAAAGAAATGTTAAAATACTGAATGGCCACTATGTTTGGACGAATTACTCCATAAATGTAGTGCATGTCAAGTATACATAAGCATAAAAAATCTTGGGGAAAAAAAAAAAAAAAAGAATAGTGCATGAAAGACAAATACATTAATATTTCCAAGAAATAAATAAACATTAGAAACAATCAATTATTCAATCTTATTTAACTTACCTTTTTGCTTCAGCTGAGTAAGTTTTAACCTTATCTTCTCCAATTGCTCAGGTGGCTGCACAGCATGAATATTCCTGGTTGGAAATTTGTAAGGTCTGGCATCAAGGCCAAGAAAAGTAAGGGAAGGAGTATGCCTTGCTTTGACAGTCTCACCAGACTCTTCTTGCACTGAAAATGACCCCTGATACTGGAAGCACTTCCAATATGGCCGTTGCACATAAATAAGATTTAGAAGTGACTCTCTCAAGCTGCAAGACAAATAAACAATGATTTATTCATACCAGGGCATGCAAGACCTGATGAATTAAAAATATATAGACACTACAGCTAAAATAGTATGCACTGGTATATATGATGAAGGTTGTTCATCACTTTACAGTAGCTGTAACTTACTATCTACTATTAAACAGAAAATGAGTAAATTATTTGCGAGTCAAGATCCAACAAGAACTTTTGAGAAGTTTAGGAATTTCCCAATCAATCGTAAATTATTTCTTATAGACTATGAAACATGCTTTTAATTTAGCTTTCATGTAAATTAGAATTTGAAAACCATAAGTATAAGGAGGGTGTGTAAAGGTGGAAAGCTGAAAGTGAACATAGATAAGAATAAGGTGAGGAGGGTATCAAATGAGTTAGATAAAGAAAAACTGGATATCACATTGGAAAGGAGGAGTATGGAAGAAGTGAATGTTTTCAGATATTTGGGAGCCGACATGTCGGTGTTCTTGCTCTTACCCTCTGTGGGCACCTAGCTCCCTTGCAGTGCTCCTCTTTCTTAGTATTTGACTGGCTCCTCCTCCTCTTACTACCTCCCCACTACTACTTCCTTCCACCTCCACTACTACTACTACCACCTCCTGCCTATATATACCCTTCCTATATATACCCTAGTGTGACTTTGTAAATGGTCCAAGTCGGACCGAAATGTTGTCGTAAGCTCCCCTCTTCTATGTGCAGGTTATTTGTGTATTGTGTATGAAGGATGAGGTTAACCATAGAACTGATGAGGAAAAAAAGGTGAGTGGTGCATTGAGGTATACCTGGAGACAAAAAACATTATCAATGGAGACAAAGAAGGGAATGTATGAAAGTATAGTGGTACCAACACTCTTATATGGGTGTGAAGCTTGAGTTGTAAATGCTGAAGTGAGGAGGCAGTGGAGATGTCCTGTCTAAGGGCAATGTGTGTTGTAAATATTATGCAGAAAATTCGGTGTGGAAATTAGGAGGTGTGAAGTTAATAAAAGTATTAGTCAGAGAGCTGAAGAGGGGTTGTTGAGAGAATGGATCAAAGTAGATTGACATGGAGAGTGTATAAATCTGCAGGGGAAGGAAGGTGGGGTAGGGTTCGTCCTTGAAAACGTTCAAGGGAGGGGGTAAAAGAGGTTCTGTGGGTGAGGGGCTTGGACTTCCAGCAAGCGTGCATGAGCGTGTTAGATAGGAGTGAATTGAGACGAATGGGTTTTGGGACCTGACAAGCTGTTGGAGTGTAAGCAGGGTAATATTTAGTAAGGGATTCAGGGAAACCAGTTATTTTTTATAGCCAGACTTGAGCCTGAAATGGAGAAACCTGTACTTAAGAAGGCTTTGGGATATTGGCGTTTGGAGGGATATGTATATATTGTATATTGTTAAACTTTGTATATGAGCTTCAAAAACTGTGATCTGTTGATGAGGTGAAAGGTTGAATGATGTGAAAGTTTGTTTGAGAGGATTTTTTTTATTGGGTAACCTGTCGTAGAAGCGACATTGTTGAAAAAAAAAAAGTTTAAGGTCTGTAATATAAGTAACGCCTGAAAAAGTTAGCATAACATGGGTTCAGAAAAAAGAGTTCTTTTAACTTTAATATGAACAGGTAAAGTGCACTAGCCCCTTGCTCGGTTTTTAGTCAATGTCATACACAGGCTTATGGAGAAGAATTCTGTTCACTTTCATGGAAGAAAGGAAACTTAAAATAAAAGAAAGCCAGGGTGTTACTATATAATTGTAATCATGCTAGACCTAAGTAAGTAAAGTAGCAAGACGTCCTGAAATGGCATGTTTATGAGACGAAAAATCTACAGTATCTATCCTCTGTACTTTACAATTTTCTGTTTCACTCACTGAGAAGACTGTGTACCACGGTTTCGAAATAACAACCTACTGTTGATCCATTTCTACCTAACAATCCGGAATTTTAATACCATTTCAATTTTCATTCGATGATGAAAGTATTTTCTTTATGAGGATTTTCTTTCTTTTTGGGTCACCCTGCCTCGGTGAGAGATGGCCGACTTGTTGAAAAAAAAAAAGTTTAAGGCGGGTAAATATAAGTAAACTGCCTGAAATGTTATGCATAACTATGGGCTTTTCCATGCACAAAAATGAGTTTCTCTTTTTAACTTTAGTAATGTATACAGGAGAAGTGCTTACTAGCCCCTTGCTCCCGGCATTTTAGTCAACTCTTACAACACGAATGGCTTATGGAGAAGAATTCTGTTCCACTTCCTCATGGAGAGAAAGGGAAAACTAGTAAGAAAATAAAAGAAAGCCCAGAGGGGTGTGTATATATATACTTGTACATGCATGCATAGTGTGACCTAAGTGTAAGTAGAAGTAGCAAGACGTACCTGAAATCGTGCATGTTTATGAGACAGAAAAAAAAATACACTAGCAATCCTACCATCATGTAAAACAATTACAGGTTTTTGTTTTACACTCACTTGGCAGGACAGTAGTACCTCCCTGGGTGGTTGCTGTCTACCAACCTACTGCCTAGGATCCATTTCACTCATGGGCAGCAAATCCATAAATTGTCTTAATAGAATATAAAGTACTTTACAAAATGGGAGGTGATACAGTTACTTTTTGCTGATGATACTGTGCTTATGGAAGATTCTAAAGAAAAGTTGCAAAGGTTAGTGGATGAGTTTGGGAGGGTGTGTAAAGGTAGAAAGTTGAAGGTGAACATAGATAAGAGTAAGGTGATGAGGGTATCAAATGATTTAGTAAGAAAACTGGATATACATTGGATTAGTGGGGGTTTTGGATGAGTGAATTGTTTTCGATATTTGGAGTATATGAAGGATTGAGATTAACATAGAAAATGTGAAGGAAAAAATAGGTGAGTAAGTGCATTGAGGTATCTGAGACAAAAAAATTGTTATCTATTGGAGAAGAAGAAGGAATGTATGAAGGTATAGTGGTACCAACACTCTTTTATGGGTGTGAAGCTTGGGTTGTAAATGCTGCAGCGAGGAGGTGGGTGGAGGGAGTGGAGATGTCCTAAATGCAATATGTGGTGTAAATAATATGCAGAGAATTCAGAGTGTGGAAATTAGGAGGAGGTGATGAGTTACTAAAAGTATTAGTCAGAGGGTTGTTGAGGTGGTTTGGTCATTTAGAGAATGGATCAAAGTAGAATGACATGGAGAGTGTATAAATCTGTAGGGAAAGGAAGGAGATGTAAGGGTTGTCCTCGAAAATGTTGGATGGAGGGGGTAAAGGAGGTTTTGTGGGCGAGGGGCTTGGACTTCCAGCAAGTGTGTGTGAGCATGTTAGATAGGAGTAAATAGAGACGAATGGTTTTTGGGACTTGGCAAGCAGGGTAATATTTAGTGAAGGGATTCAGGGAAACCGGTTATTATAGATTTAGCCAGACTTGAGTCCTGGAAATGGGAAATACAATGCCTGCACTTTAAAGGAGGAATCTGGGAAATTGACAGTTTGCAGGGATTTCTAAACTGTCGTATCTGAGCGCCTCTGCCAAGACAGTGAGTGAGGCGAAAGTGATGAATGATGATGAAAGTACAGTATTTTCTTTTTGGGTCACCCTGCCTCGGTGGGAGACGACCGACTTGTTGGAAAAAAAAAATAAAGTACTTTACTTTCAAACGGATTTTCAAAAATTAACAAGTACAGCACTACTAGAGGCAAGTGTGTTTCAAGTACCTGAGTGATGGTTCCTTGATGGGATCCAGCAGTACAGGGCAAGAATCTCCAAGCAGTATACTCAGTGTCATTGCTGCACCCTCTGCTAAGGAGTCCAGACAGTAGCCTCCCTGTGAGTTCAATTTTTTTTTTTAGATTATATAGTCACAGATAAACACATACAGCATTTATTAAAACAGAAAATGTCTAGAGAGGTAATGGATTGTATTAATTTATTTGTCTTTCATTCTGCATATACCACCATTATTACATTTTGTTTGAATCATTTACTTTGCACTTTGTTTAAAGATTCTCATATGCAACAGGCATGTTATGTACATCCTACCTCAAAAACTATAGCCACTCTTCCCTGGGCTAGTGTCATTAAACTTGAGGTGAGGTGGCCATAGAAGCCTGGTGACACTTCCATTTCTCCCTACCATAACAAAAGCATAAGATTAATAGAAAAATAGGACAAAAAGTTTCAAAATAGTTGGCAAGCACTACATATAAACAAATATCATATAAACTATAAATGTAGTAACTGTATAACTTTCACATTTAAATCCCAGTGTATGTGCTACATACATAGTAAACTGAGTGGCTACACTAGAGCACAGAAGAGCCTATATGGGAGGGGAAACAAAATAAAAATTAGTTAATTTTTGGATTTATTTCTCAGAGATGAGACAGTTGTGAAGACAGCAACCATGCAGCAGTGTGCAAGGTCATGCAAGGATATAATAATGAAAAATAGATTGCTATGTGCAAGTTATTCTACTGAACAGTAAATGACAACAGATTAGAAACACTGGCAGATCTCAAATTCAAAGTACTACTGTTGTAGACATTCATTACCAACTATATTTCCATATCAGGTATTGTAACTATTGCAAGATCTTTTCAAAGCATTTTATTTAGCAATGTTTGCCTGTATTTATGAACCTAACCTAAATTTATGGGAAAAAAAAATAGTATAGTGGAGTAATAATTCACATTCACAATATAAAAAGGAAACTAATAGTAGGCTACAATAATGCAGACAATATAGTAAAGTGTAACAGCATCAGTGCTTTTGAGTTAGTCCTGAAGCCATAACATTGGTACCCTTGTTAAAAGATGTACTTATTTATTACCCACTTGCTTAAACTTACCTTACTATCACCTAGTGAGGAATCAAAGCCAGCTGAGATCAAGACCATCTCTGGTGCAAACTAGAAATGAACAAATATAACCATATCCATTACTTGAGTAACATGCCTCACAGCACCTCGGTACATATGCCAAGATTTAATGAAAAAATCTAGTACGTCCATACATGTATATGATACAAGAGATCCAAAATTAAACATTTAGTTTTTAAAGTCATCAACATGCCAAGGTAGTATCTAGACATCTGTGAGTGAACATTGATTCCCAGTCAAGTTAGAGGCTGCAAACAACTACAGTGGAACCCCGAGTTTCGGCCGCCCTGAGTACTGGCCGCTTCGAGTTTCAACCGCTTTTTTTTCGGCTAAATTTTGTCCCGAGTTTTCGGCAATTGCCCCATGTTTTGGCCGGCGTACCGACCTGTCTGTGCTTGCGCACCTCCCCGTGCAGTCGTCGTGAGCCAGTCTAACGTTTATCCTTGCGTGCTCATCCAACCACTTCACAATAAATTCCTTGTGTTTAGTGCTTGATTATTGATTGTGACTGAAATAAGCCACCATGGGCCCAAAGAAACTTCCTAGTGGCAGCCTTGTGGTGAAGAAAGTGAGGAACACCACAGAAGTGAAGGAGATATGTAGTAGAAAAATATGAGAGTGGTGTTCATGTGGGGGAGCTTGCCAGGATGTAAGGCAAAAACAAATCAACTATCACTGCTATCCTGGTGAAGAGAAAAGAGCTCAAGGAAGCTGATGCTGCAAAAGATGTTGAAATGTAAATCAAAAATAGATCACAAACAGTGGAAAAGGTTGAGAAGTTGCTGGTGGTGTGGATCAACAATAAACAGATGAAGGGTGATAGTGTTTCGGAGTCAATCATTTGCAAGAAGGGAAGGCAGTTGCATGCCGATCTTATAAAGAAAATATTTGAAACCAGTGCTGATTTTGGTGAATTTAAGGCCAGCAGAGGCTGGTTTGACAGATTTAAGAAGCGTGGTGGCATACATAGTGTTGTAAGGCATGGCGAGGCAGCAACTTCAGACAAACGGGCGGCTGTAAAATTTGTGCATGAATTTAAGGGGTACGTAGAGATTGAAAAATTCAAACCCTAAAAAGTTTTCAACTGTGATGAAACAAGCCTGTTTTGGAAGAAAATGCCAAAGAAGACCTACATTACTCAGGAGGAAAAGGCACTGCCAGGACACAAGCCTATGAAAGACAGGCTAACTCTTTTGTTCTGAGCTAACGCTAGTGGGGATTTTAAAGTGAAGTCTTTACTGGTGTATCACTCAGAAAATTCCAAAGTGTTCAAGAAAAACAATGTCATCAAGAATAAGTTGTGTGTCTTGTGGAAAGCAAATAATAAGGCATGGGTCACAAGGCAATTTTTCAAAGAGTGGGTCCATGAAGTGTTTGGCCCCAGTGTGAAAAAAATACCTCCTGGAAAATATTTTGCCACTCAAGTGCCTCCTGGTAATGGACAATGCTTCTGCTCATCCTCCAAACTTGGAAGACCTATTGTCTAGGGACTTCAGTTTTATAACAGTGAAGTTCTTGCCTCTTAACACCACTCCTCTCCTCCAGTCCATGAACCAGCAGGTCATTTCTAACTTCAAAAAACTCTACACCAAAGCAGTGTTTGAAAGGTGCTTTGAAGTGACCTCAGACACTCAGTTGACCCTAAGAGAGTTCTGGAGGAATCATTTCAGTATCCTCCACTGCATAAGCATTATAGGTAAGGCTTGGGAGGGAGTGACTTCCAGGACTTTGAACTCTGCTTGGAGACAATTGTGGCCACAATGTGTAGTCCAGAGGGATTTTGAAGGGTTTGAGGCTGACCCTGACCCTGCCTGTTGTGGAAGGTATTGTGGCATTGGGCAAGTCCATGGGGTTGGATGTGGGTGGCAAGGATGTGAAAGAGTTGGAGGAGGACTACAGGGAAGAGCTAACCACTGATGAATTGAAAGAGCTTCAACTGGAACAGCAAGAGGCCATAGCTGAGGAACTTGCTTCAGAGGAGGAGGAAGAGGGAGTGAAGGAGGTGCCTTCTTCAATGATTAAGGAGATCTGTGCAAAGTGGAATGATGTGCAAAGTTTTGTCGAGAACTACCACCCTGAGCAAGCTGAAACAAGCCATCTCTGCAACAAGTTCAGTAACAGAACTATGTCCCATTTTAGGCAAATCTTAAAGAGACGCCAGAAACAGAGCACTCTTGACAGTTATTTTGTGCAGCAGGGGTCCACTGACTCTCAAGCTGGTCCTAGTGGCATTAAAAGACAGAGAAGGGAAGTAACCCCAGAGAGGGACTTGTTACCTAAAGTCCTTATGGAAGGGGATTCCCCTTCCAAACAATAACCCCAACTCCCTCTCCTCCTCCTCCCTATCTTCCAGATGCCAGCAAGTCTCTTCAATAAAGGAAAGTACATGTTATTTTAAATGTTTATTTAAATTTTAATTTATATATTTTATTACTAATTTAAGTACTATATGTATTTATCTATACTGTTGTATTCTGGGCACCTCTGCAAAAACAGTGATTATGTGCGAGTGAGATGAAAGTGTTGAATGATGATGAAAGTATTTTCTTTTTGGGGATTTTCTTTCTCTTTGGGTCACCTTGCCTCGGTAGGAGACGGCAGACTTGTTAAAAGAAAAGAAAGATGTATTTATCTGTGTTGTATGTAAAACTATATTCTTTAAAAAAATTTTTTTTTTTTGTGAACATTTTTGTGGGTCTGGAATGGATTAATTGAATTTACATTATTTCTTATGGGAAATATTGCTTCGACTTTTGGCCGTTTCGAGTTTAGGCCTAGGTCTTGCAACAGATTACGGCCAAAACTTGGGGTTCCACTGTATCTAACAGGTTAGTTGAAAATGGTATAAAATATACAAGTGCAACAATTGGGTATTTTTACTGTTGAAATGCTTCACCTACACATTAGACTTCTTCAGTAAAATACAGACGAGGTAGCATAAGCAGTAGAGATGAAAAGATGATGTAATTAGTCCATCACCCTGAAGACAGTTTTGAGGTGGTCAGTCTCTCAGAGTTCAGCTCTATGGAGCTAAATTCTTTTCCAGGCTGAGGGACTGACCACCTAAAAAGTATGTCTTCCAGGGTGATGGACTGATTACACTGTCATTTTATCTCTACTGTTTCTGCTGCCATCTCTGTATTTGACTGAAGAAGCCTACTGAATAAGGGAAATGTTTTCATCAATAAAGATACCCAATTGTTACACATGTGTCTTACTCATCAACTACCTGAAAACCCAAACACATTCTTTCAAAATAAATGAAAATTTACCGATAAAGTGCAACCATACATTTGCAGCCTATATTTAAGTTTATTATGCATTTTATATTCTTCCCCAAAGAAGTCTAAAGCCTTGTATGGAGTTCACAGAACGAGTTCTATCTATCTACCTATCTCTCGGTCTGATTAACTTCCATCCAAAGTAATAGCCAGATCAAAGTTAGATACAGTAATAAATTGCAAGTTGATGAGGGAGTCTTGGCATCAATCAATGTACCGAGGTAGAGATGGAGAACAGAGACATCAGTGCATGTAGAAGTAGATGGAATGGGAATACCGACAAGTTGTAGATAATAAAGACAAAATCAGTAACTGTAAACCTTATTCAGACAATTTTTTTTGCCTACACAGGTTGTTTTCAAGTTGACAAAAACTGCTGTGCAGGCAAAAATTGTCTGCATAAAATTTCCCTCTGCTACTCTTGTCTGTATCATCCACAAGTTGGCACATATACATTCAAAGTTCTAACCTCAAAACATCCAATTGCAGAATCATACCCTGCCGAAACAATGATGAGCTCAGGATTGAACTGAAAAGACAAGTACTAGCAATGCAGTCTCACTCTAATAAAAAGAAAAAAAAAAGATTAAAATAATATTAGAGATAAAGATAGAGAAAGAGAGATAGAGACATTTTATTTTTTCATCAAACTGGCCATATCCCACCAAGCCAGGGTGACAAAAAAAAAAAAAAAAATTTAGTAATATATACAGGAGAAGGGGGTTACTAGCCCCTTGCACCCGAAAGACAGATATATCTATATGTATCTGTCTGCAAAAACAGTGATTATGTGTGAGTGAGGTGAAAGTGTTGAATGATGATGAAAGTATTTTCTTTCTTTTTGGGTCACCCTGCCTCGATCACCTCCAATGTATACAGTACCGTATTAATGTCATAGAAGTGTATTTATGTAAGTGCGTTTGTACGTGTATGTTTGGGGGTCTGAAATGGACTAATCTACTTCACAATATTCCTTATGGGAACAAATTCGGTCAGTACTGGCACCTGAACATACTTCTGGAATGAAAAAAAATATCGTTAACCGGGGGTCCACTGTATATACATATAGGTAGTAGGTTGGTAGACAGCAACCATTTGGGGAGGTCTACAGTCCTACGAAGTGAGTGTAAAAGGAAGCCTGTATTTCTTTTACATGATGGTAGGATTGCTGGTGTCTTTTTTCTGTCTCGTAAACATGCATGATTTCAGGTACGTCTTGCTATTTCTACTTACACTTAGGTCACACTGCACATACATGTACATGTTTATGTATACACACTTATCTGAGTTTTCTTTGATTTTTATCTTAATAGTTCTTGTTCATAGTGCTTTTCCTATCATATCCATGTGGAAGTAGAATGAGAATCTTTCCTCCGTAGGCCATGTGTGTTGTAAAGGTCGACTAAAATGCTGGGAACAATGAGCTAGTAACCTCTTTACTTGCATAGCTTACTAAAAAGACAAAAGAAGACAACCGTCAAGTGGGATGTTTGAATGTGCGTGGATGTTGTGCAAATGATAAGAAAGAGATGATTGTGGATGTTATGAATGTGAAGCTGGATGTCCTGACTTTAGGTGAAACAAAGCTGAAGGGTGTAGGAAAGTTTCAGTGGAGAGAAATAAATGGGATTAGGTCAGGGGTTTCAAATAAAGTTAGAGCTAAAGGAGTAGCAATAACATTGAAGGATAAGTTATGGCAGGAAAGGAGGGAATATAAATGTATAAATTCAAGGATTATATGGCATAAAATAAGGGTTGGATATGAAAAGTAAATTATAGTAAGTGTTTATGCACCTGGAGAAGAGATAAGTGTAGATCAGAGAGAGACATTTTGGGAGATGTTCAGTGAGTGCGTGGGGAGTTTTGAACCAAGTGAGAGAGTACTTTTGGTTGGGGATCTCAATGCTAAAGTGGGTAAAAATACTGTGGAGGGAGTAGTAGGTAAATTTGGGGTGCCAGGGGTAAATGAAAATGGGGAGCCTTTAATTGAACTGTGTGTAGAAAGAGGTTTGGAAATAAGTAATACATATTTTACGAAAAAGGAGGATAAATAAATATACAAGGTATGATGTAGCACGTAATGAAAGTAGTTTGTTAAATTATGTTATTTTTTTTTTATTAGCACACTGGCCAATTCCCACCAAGGCAGGGTGGCCCGAAAAAGAAAAACTTTCACCATCATTCACTCCATCACTGTCTTGCCAGAAGGGTGCTTTACATTAGTTTTTAAACTGCAACATTAACACCCCTCCTTCAGAGTGCAGGCACTGTACTTCCCATCTCCAGGACTCAAGTCCGGCCTGCCGGTTTCCCTGAATCCCTTCATAAATGTTACTTTGCTCACACTCCAATAGCACTTCAAGTATTAAAAACCATTTGTCTCCATTCACACCTATCAAACACGCTCACGCATGCCCGCTTGAAGTCCAAGCCCCTCGCACACAAAACCTCCAGGATGTACATATTTATAGAGGAGCAACGGATATATTGGATCATTATTTAGTTGTAGCTACAGTTAGAGTAAGAGGGAGATGAGACATAAGGAAAATAGCAACAGCAAGTAAGAGAGAGGTGAAAGTGTATAAGCTAAGGAAGGAGGAAGTTAGGGTGAGATATAAGCAACTATTGGCAGAAAGGTGGGCAAATGCAAGTATGAGTAGTAGGGGGGGGGGGTGAAGAGGGTTGGGATAGTTTTAAAAATGCAGTATTGGAATGTGGGGCAGAAGTTTGTGGCTACAGGAGGATGAGTGCAGGAGGAAAGAGGAGTGATTGGTGGAATAATAAAGTAAAGGGTGTGATAAAAGAGTAAAAGGTAGCTTATGAGAGGTTTTTACAAAGCAGAAGTGCTATAAGAAGAGCTGAGTATATGCAGAGTAAAAGAAAGGTGAAGACAGTAGTGAGAGAGTGCAAAAGAAAAGCAGATGATAAGAGTGGGAAATGCACTATTAAGAAATTTTGCTGAAAATAAGAAAAAAATTTCAAGTGAGATAAACAAGTTAAGAAAGCCTAGGGAATGACTGGATTTGTCCATTAAAAACAGAGAAGGGGAGTTAGTTGATGGGGAACTGGCAGTAATTGGCAGATGGCAGGATTATATTGAGGAACTTTTAAATGTCGATGAAGAAAGGGAGGCGGTAATTTCATGCACTGGCCAGGGAGGTATAACATCTTTTAGGAGTGAAGAAGAGCAGGATGTGAGTGTGGGGGCGGTGCATGAGGCATCACATAGAATGAAAGGGGGTAAAGAAGCTGGAACTGAAGGGATCATGACAGAAACATTAAAAGCAGGGGGGGGGGGTTATTGTGTTGGAGTGGTTGGTATTTTTGTTTAATAAATGTATGAAAGGTAATCCATGGGGAAGTGGAATGAGAATCTTTCCTCCGTAAGCCATGTGTGTTGTAAAAGTCAACTAAAATGAAGGGAACAATGGGCTAGTAACCCCTTTTCCTGTAATAATTACTAAAAGGAATAGGAAGAAATTTGTCCAAGTGGGATCTCTGAATGTTCGTGGATGTTGTGCGAATGATGAGAAAGAGATGATTGTGGATGTTATGGATGAGAAAAAGCTGGATGTCCTGGCTTTAAGTGAAACAAAGTTGAAGGGGGTGGGAGAGTTTCAGTGGAGAGAAATAAATGAGATTAGGTCAGGGGTTTCAAATGGAGTCAGAGCTAAAGAAGTAGCAATAATGTCGAAGGATAAGCTATGGCAGGAAAAGAGGGACTATAAACATATTAATTCAAGGATTATGTGAAGTAAAATAAAGGTTGGATGTGAAAAGTGGGTTATAGTAAGCGTATATGCACCTGAGAAGATAGAAGTGTAGAGGAGAGAGAGAGATTTTGGGAAATGTTGAGTGAATGTGTGGGGAATTTTGAACCAAGTGTGAGAGTACTTGTGGTTGGGGATTTCAATACTAAAGTGGGTAAAAATATTGTGGAGGGAGTAGTAGGTAAATTTGGGGTGCCAGGGGTAAATGAAAATGGGGGGGCCTTTAATTGAGCTATGTGTTGAAAGAGGTTAGGTAATAAGTAATACATATTTTATGAAGAAGTGAATAAATAAATATACAAGGTATGATATAGCATGTAATGAAAGTAGTTTGTTAGATTAAGTATTGGTGGATAAAATGTTGATGGGTAGGCTCTAGGATGAACACGTTTATAGAGGGGCAACTGACATATCGGATCATTATTTAGTTTTAGCTACAGTTAGAGTAAAAGGTAGATGGGACAAGAGGAAAATGGCAACAACAAGTAAGAGGGTGGTGAAATTGTATAAACTAAGGGAGGAGGAAGTTCAGGTGAGATATAAGCAACTATTGGCAGAAAGGTGGGCTGGTGCAAGTATGAGTAGTGAGGGGGGGGAGTTTAAGAGGGTTGGAATAGTTTTAAAAATGCAGTATTAGAATGTAGGGCAGAGCTTTGTGGCTATAGGAGGGTAGGTGCAGGAGGAAAGAAGAGTGATTGGTGGAATGATGAAGTAAAGGGTGTGATAAAAGAAAAAAAGGTAGCTTATGAGATGTTTTTACAAAGCAGAAGTGTTATAAGAAGAATAGAGTATATGGAGAGTAAAAGAAAGGTGAAGAGAGTGGTGAGAGTGCAAAAGGACAGTGGATGATAGTGGGAGAGGCACTGTCAAGAAATTTTAATGAAAATAAGAAAAAATTTAGAGTGAGTTAAACAAGTTAAGAAAGCCTAGGGAATGAATGGATTTGTCAGTTAAAAATAGAGTAGCAGAGTTAGTATAGGGGGAGATGGAAGTATTGGGTAGATGGCGAGAATATTTTGAGGAACTTTTAAATGTCGACGAAGAAAGGGAGGCGGTAATTTCATGCACTGGTCAGGGAGGTATATCTTCTTGAAGGAGTGAAGAAGAGCAGGATGTGAGTAGGGGGGAGGTGCCTGAGGCATTAATGAAAGGGGGTAAAGCAGCTGGGACTGACGGGATCATGACAGAAATGTTAAAAGCAAGGGGGGATATAGTGTTGGAGTGGTTGGTATTTTTGTTTAATAAATGTATGAAAGAAGTGAAGGTACCTAGGGATTGGCAGAGAGCATGTATAGTCCCTTTATATAAAGGAAGGGGGACAAAAGAGATGGTAAAAATTATAGAGGAATAAGTTTACTGAGAATACCAGGAAAAGTGTATGGTAGGGTTATTATTGAAAGAATTAGAGGCAAGACAGAATGCAGGATTGCAAATGAGCTAGGAGGTTCTAGAGTGGGTAGGGGATGTGTAGATCAAGTGTTTACATTGCAGCATATATGCAAACAGTATTTAGATAAAGGTAGGGAAGTTTTTATTGCATTTATGGATTTAGAAAAGGCATATGATAGAGTGGATAGAGGAGCAATGTGGCAGATGTTGCAAGTATATGGAATAGGTGGTAAGTTACTAAATGATGTAAAGAGTTTTTATGAGGATAGTGAGGCTCAGGTTAGGGTGTGTAGAAGAGAGGTAGACTACTTCCTGGTAAAAGTAGGTCTTAGACAGGGATATGTAATGTCACCATGGTTGTTCAATATATTTATAATTGGGGTTGTAAAAGAAGTAAATACTAGGGTGCTCGGGAGAGGGGTGGGATTAAATTATGGGGAATCAAATACAAAATGGGAATTGACACAGTTACTTTTTGCTGATGATACTGTGCTTATGGGAGATTCTAAAGAAAAATTGCAAAGGTTAGTGGATGAGTTTGGGAGGGTGTGTAAACATAGAAAGTTGAAAGTGAGTATAGAAAAGAGTAAGGTGATGAGGGTATCAAATGATTTAGACAAAGAAAAATTGGATATCAAATTGGGGAGGAGGAGTATGGAAGAAGTGAATATTTTCAGATATTTGGGAGTTGACGTGTCAGCAGATGGATTTATGAAGGATGAGGTCAATCATAGAATTGATGAAGGAAAAAAGGCGAGTGGTACGTTGAGGTATCTGTGGAGAGAAAAAAAAATGTTATCAATGGAGGCAAAGAAAGGAATGTATGAAAGTATAGTGGTATCAACACTCTTATATGGGTGTGAAGCTTGGGTTGTAAATGCTGCAGTGAGGAGGCGGCTGGAGGCAGTGGAGATGTCCTGTCTAAGGGCAATGTGTGGTGTAAATATTATGCAGAGAATTCGAAGTGTGGAAATTAGGAGGAGGTGTGGAATTACTTAAAGTATTAGTCAGAGGGCTGAAGAGGGGTTGTTGAGGTAGTCTGGTCATTTAGAGAGAATGGATCAAAGTAGAATGACTCGGAGAGCGTTTAAATCTGTTGGAGTAGGAAGGAGGGGTAGGGGTCGTCCTGGTAAAGGTTGAAGGGATGGGGTAAAGGAGGTTTTGTGGGCGAGAGGTTTGGACTTCCAGCAAGCATGTATGAGCGTGTTATATAGGAGTGAATGGAAATGAATGGTTTTTGGGACCTGACGAGCTGTTGGAGCGTAAGCAGGGTAATATTTAGTGAAGGGATTCAGGGAAACTGGTTATTACAAATTTAGCCGGACATGAGGCCTGGAAATGGGAAGTACAATGCCTGCACTTTAAAGGGGTCTGGGATATTGACAGTTTGGAGGAACTTCTGAAATGTCATATCTGAATGCCTTTGCAAAGACAGTGATTATGTATGAGTGAGGTGAAAGTGTTGAATGATGATCAAAGTATTTTCTTTTTTGGGGATTTTCTTTCTTTTTGGATCACCCTGCATGTGTGTGTGTACCTACATAAACATTTAGTATATGCAAGGTGTACATGTTTTGTGTATGCTTTGCACTATACATTTATCAAAATAAATTTCTTTAATGAAACTATTATGGTGAGAAAAATGAGATTAAACAAAAAATAATGTGACAATTCAAATACATTGGATGAAGCAAAGAAAAATTAATTCTATCATATATTACATAGTAAAGAAGCTTTACTTAATGACAGTTAACAATGAGGAGATAGGTAATAGAAATTTAAACACTTTTAAACATTTAAACATTTTGAAACATTTTTCAGAAATAGAGATAAATATTAAAAAAATATTCACAACACATTATTTAAAAAAAAATTGTATATGCAATGGCAAACAACCAAAGGCGTACAATACGTCCCTCACTTATGACATTAACGAGTTACTGAAAATTTTATACTAGGCTGGTTCTTTGGAAGTGGGAACCCATTTTTCCACAGACACCCAGGTTATAATGGTAAGTGCATTCCCAAGCCATACTATTCTAATTGATTTTCAACCTGCACAATTTTGATTCCAAATTATATCAATTCATTATTTTCCTAGCATACAATTATATCAAAATGATATTGCTCATTAAAAACTAGCTGATTAATATTCTTGTACATTATCTGACCCTAACCTCGTATGCCACAGGAAGAAGAATTTGATGGAAAATGGCTAAGTAGTCTTCATTCCTCATGCCAGTCTTGTTGAGGGGAACATTGAAATTGAAGCCTCGGCCAGCTCCTTCACCTACGTAGTTGTAGTTACTTTCCCGCAGGTGGGGCCAAAAACTGGCATGTTCGTAGCGGTGAATAGAAAAGTAGAGCACTCTGCAATGCATGAAGTTCACACAAAATATTTACTGTTTGTATTACTTCTCAATTTCACTTTTAAATACACAGGTATTTTTATAAATTAAAAAACACAAAATCTTTAATAATTTTTAATCTAAACATTAATTTAGAAAATGCTCCTTTTAATATTTCAGCCATTTTAGAATACCATTAATATGAACAATTAAATGGGTACTAAAGTTGTGCTCACAGGAATTGATGGGAACAATACCGAGGGAGAAGTGATTTTTCTGAATAGTTAGTGAGCTTAACATGATTTCCAGAAAGTTTAAGGCTGTACATAGACAAAATGAATTTGAGCAAGCGATTTCAACCCCTACCCGTTTTTTTACTGGTATTTCGTTCTATGCACTCCGCACATTTCTCAATGCTTATCACCTAATAAGATTACCAGTAGTGATTTCATAATAAAAATTCACAGAAATTAGTTAGATTTTTTTATAATTCATATTAAATACTACTGTAATTCCGTACCACGGTCAGCTGCTGCTGCTGCTATACCACGTTCAGCTGCTGCTGCTGCTGCTGTACCACGGTCAGCTGCTGCTGTTGCTGTACCACAGTCAGCTGCTGCTGCTGCTGTACCACAGTCACCTGCTGCTGCTGCTGCACCACAGTCACCTGCTGCTGCTGCTGCACCACAGTCACCTGCTGCTGCTGCACCACAGTCAGCTGCTGCTGTTGCTGTACCACAGTCAGCTGCTGCTGCTGCTGTACCACGGTCAGCTGCTGCTGTTGCTGTGCCACAGTCAGCTGCTGCAGCTGCTGCTGTACCACAGTCACCTGCTGCTGCTGCTGCTGCACCACAGTCACCTGCTGCTGCTGCACCACAGTCAGCTGCTGCTGCTGATGTACCATGGTCAGCTGCTGCTGCTGATGTACCACGGTCAGCTGCTGCTGCTGATGTACCACGGTCAGCTGCTGCTGCTGATGTACCACGGTCAGCTGCTGCTGCTGATGTACCACGGTCAGCTGCTGCTGCTGATGTACCATGGTCAGCTGCTGCTGCTGATGTACCACGGTCAGCTGCTGCTACTGATATACCATGGTCAGCTGCTGCTGCTGGTGTACCATGGTCAGCTGCTGCTGTACCACTGTCAGCTGCTGCTGCTGCTGTACCACGGTCAGCTGCTGCTGCTGCTGCTGCTGCTGTACCATGGTCAGCTGCTGCTGCACTACCATCAGCTGTACTACTCGAAGATGTGGAGAGACTGCTGTTGGTTTGGCTTAACGAGAAACAATTAACCCCAGAGGGTTAGCCACCCAGGATAACCCAAGAAGTCAGCGAGCCATCGAGGACTGTCTAACTTATTTCCATTGGGGTCCTTAATCTTGTCCCCCAGAATGCGACCCACACCAGTCGACTAACACCCAGGTGAACAGGAAAAAATACCTGGAACTAGTGCTCATATTCGTGAATTTAAGGCCAGCAAAGGTTAGTTTGAGAGATTTAAGAATCTTAGTGGCATACACAGTGTGATAAGGCATGGCGAAGCTGAAAAATTCCAACCCCAACAAGAGTTCAATTGTGACAAAACAGGCCTGTTCTGGAAGAAAATGCCAAACAGGACCTACATTACTCAGGAGGAAAAGGCACTCCCAGGACACAAGCCTATGAAATACAGGCTAACTCTCATGTTTTGTTGTAATGCTAGTAAGGATTGCAAAGTGTAGCCTTAACTCATATATCACTCTGAAAATAACTGTGTTCAAGAAAAACAGTGTCTCATCACTCATCAATACTCTTCAATAACTGTAAGTGTCATTTTAACATTTATTTGTGTAGTTATTGTGCATGTCTCATTCATTTCTTTGTAGGGAAATGTATATTTCATGAAAAAAAAAATTATTTTTTTTTAATACTTTTGGCTGTCTGGAAGAGATTTATTGGATTTCCATTATTTCTTATGGGGAAAATTAATTTGGCTAACGATAATTTCGTCTAATGATGAGCTCTCAGGAACAAATTATCGTTAGCCGAGGGTCCACTGTACTTGCAAAAATGGTCAGTAAGCTGTTTACTATTATACAGGCTGTATACAAGCTCATGTTCAGGGTCCATACTGTTTGTGTGCATAAACAGAAATGTGTAAAACTTAATATTAAGAGAAAAACAAGAAGAATATGACAATGGTTTACTGTATATCAAATGAAAACATATGGGAATACTATAGCTATAGATTGAGATTTTTAAATTTGTTTCAGAAACAAGAATACTGATCTTGTAAAGTTTATATTTTGTGGGAAAATTATGGATAAATGTTAAGTGGTATAATTAACGTGAGTGATTCCTGGCAAGGTAATTTAATACAAATTTAAATGTATGAAAACAACAGAGTGATATAAGAATACAATAATGATTATCAAAACTAGTAAAATACTCATAATACATGTCTCCCTCTACATTCGCGAGGGTTAGGGGATCAAGAACCTCACGAATGTTGAAAATTCACTAATGTTTGGTGCACAAATATATTGTAGGGAAATATAATATAATAGCATTTACTTAGCCTAACAATACTGCTTCCTTAGCCTATTGAACCATAAACAATCATAAAACACATGAAAACATTGTAAAATATTGTACTAGTGCCAGCCCTTTGGTAAAGATGAGAAAGACTATAGAATTCAAGAAAGAATTTGTAGCAGAGTACCAAAGTGGAGGAGGAAGAGAGAGGGGAGACTGTGCCTTCTTCAGTGATTCAGTGACTATGATACTAAAGCAGCACGAGTCAATAAAGAGTATAGTACCAACCAGTGATAAACTGTAGCATTAATAATGTAGCAAGTAAGTTAAACGATTAATCAATAGAAAAAAGGCAGCACAAAACTAACTCCTCCGATGTTGTTGGAGGTATATAGCGCTACTGACAACATCGCCGCCTCTGCCGCCTTCACCACCACAATGCAAGGCTTATGCTCTAGTGGCCCTTATACACCCAACAACACAACACAACACTATTCGTGACATATGTAATGACATATTTTACTCATTCTAGAGTGTATGTCATGTTTCTATATTATTAATACTGTTTATGTCATATTAGATCAATTATGATAGATAAATAAGCCGTAGAGTTGATATTAGTGTCATATTGAAGGACTATCTTGCCCTGTCTCCAAATATAAATATGATTAGGCGGCAGAGCATTCGTGAATGTTTGAAGCCTGCGAAAGTTGAACTGGCGAATGTGGAGGGCGACCTATAATCAAATACAGCTCTAGTATACAACTTAAGAAATTAGTGGAGAAGTCATAATTTTAACCTTTTCAGGGTTGGTGCCGTACTAGTACGGTTTGAACGCCAGGGTTGGTGCCGTACTAGTATGCATAAATTCTAGCGCCTTCAAATCTAGCGAAAGAAAGCTGGTAGGCCTACATATGAAAGAATGGGTCTATGTGGTCAGTGTGCACAGTATAAAAAAAATCTTGCAGCACACAGTGCATAATGAGAGAAAAAAAAACTCCGACCATGTTTTTGCTTTAAAACGGCGACATTGCAGTCTATATTTGTATGCTATTTATGGCTGTATTCTAGTTTTCCTGGTCTCATTTTATAGAATGAAAGACATATTACAGAAATTGAGATGATTTTGATTGATTTCACAATGAAAAGTACCTTGAAACTGAGCTCAAAGTAGTAGAAATGTTCGATTTTTGCCGAAGTTCAAAAGTAAACAAATCATGCCACGCGTCCAATACATGTCAACTGGTGAGTCTAATTTTCTTTCACAAGTGCACTGATATTATTTATACCATTTCTACACTAATGCAGTAATCTGCATAACAGTAAATCTTCTATTTTTTTGTTAGAATAAAAATTCAAAGTGGAAAGCAAAAGAAATGTAAGAGAGGCCTGGGGACATGACTAATGAACAGAAAAGATGTTATTTTAGTGCCAGGAATGTCTGTCTTGTTTATTCTGAACCCTATTTGGAAATTGGTATCTTTTGAAATTTGTCTGAAATTGGCAAAATTGCCAATTTCTGACCACTTTATTGGATAGTTGAAATCTGTAAATGGGTGGTTTCTTGTACTCATTCGATAGAAAAAATAGAGTTCTAGTGAAATAGTTATGATTTTTGTCGACTGGTACATTGGAATTGGCCGAAAATAGGGCTCAAATTGGGCAAATCGCCAATGCATAAACATCGTCGAGACCACGAACTTCGCGAGAGCATAATTCCGTAAGTTCTCCATCAAATTTCTTACTTTTGGTGTCATTATGATCGGGAAAAGATTCTCTATAATTTCGTAAGAATTTTTTTTTTTTTTTAAATTTCCGACACTGAGAACAAGTTTAGGAGAGAGCCTGCCAACCCTGAAAGGATTAATAAGATCCATGTTAGGCAAGACAAACATGCAACAATTAGGTATCCTTATTTCGAAACATTTCGCCTACACAGTAGACATCTTCAGTCAAGTATGGAAAAGCTGGTAGAAGCAGAAGAGATGTGAAGACGATGTAATCAGTCCATCACCCTTGAAGATCTACTTCTGAGGTGGTCAGTCCCTCAGCCTAGTGAAGAGTATTTGTTCCAAAGTCTGAAACAATGTGAAGTTGAAGTGGCAGTATGGAGCCTTATATACTGTCAGGTGAGATGTAGGTCACTAGTAGAAGCAAGAATGTAATCAATGAGAGATCATGTCCCTTAATATTCAATAAGATCCATACTGGAAGGAGCACTGATAATCTCTTATCAAAGGAGATAAGAATTTAAATATCATTTGATCCTTCAAGTATTTTCCATGTATAGATTACAAGATCCCTCTCAGCAAAAGTAACATAAATGTGTTTCATATCTTTTCCCATATTTATGCTTAGTACAGTACAGAACATTCTAAAAGTTGCACATCAAAGTACAGTTGACCCCGGCTTACGATATTAATCCGTTCCTGACAGCACATCGTAAGATGAAATTATTGTAAGTCAAATTAATTTTCCACAAGAAATAAAGGAAATCAAATTAATCTGTTCAAGACACCCAAAAGTATGACTTTTTTTTTTTTTTTACCACATGAAATGTACATTTTCCTACACACAAAAAGAAGGATACATGCACAATATATATTGTGCATGTACATGTGTACTAAATGAAGAATAAATGACACTTACCTTTATTGAAGATGTAGTGATGAGATTGTGTCCTGAGAATGCCTTTTCCTCCTGAGTAATGTAGGTCCTGTTTGGCATTATCTTCCAGAACAGGCCTTATCACACTGTATGCCACTACGATTCTTAAATATCTCAAACCTACCTTTGCTGGCCTTAAATTCACCAATATGAGCACTAGTTCCAGGCATTTTTTCCGGTTCACCTGGGCATTAGTCGAATGGTGTGGGTCGCATCCTGGGGGACAAGATTAGGACCCCAATGGAAATAAGTTAGACAGTCCTCGATGACATACTGACTTTCTTGGGTTATCCTGGGTGGCTAACCCTCTAGGGTTAATTGTTTCTCGGTATTCTCGATAAGCCACACCAATAACAGTCTCTCCACATCTTCAAGTAGTACAGCTGACCATGGTGCTGCAGCAGCTGACCGTGGTGCAGAAGCAGCAGCAGCAGCAGCTGATGGTGCTACAGCAGCAGCAGCTGACCATGGTGCAGCAGCAGCTGACTGTGTGCAGCAGCAGCTGACCATGGTGCAGCTGACCATGGTGGCCCGGTGGCCTGGTGGCTAAAGCTCCTGCATCACACACGGAGGGCTCGGGTTCGATTCCCAGCGGGTGGAAACATTTCGACACGTTTCCTTACACCTATTGTCCTGTTCACCTAGCAGTAAATAGGTACCTGGGTGTTAGTCAACTGGTGTGGGTCGCATCCTGGGGGACAAGATTAAGGACTCCAAGACAGTCCTCGATGACATACTGACTTTCTTGGGTTATCCTGGGTGGCTAACCCTCTAGGGTTAATTGTACCTCGGTATTCTCGATAAGCCACACCAATAACAGTCTCTCCACATCTTCAAGTAGTACAGCTGACCATGGTGCTGCAGCAGCTGACCGTGGTGCAGAAGCAGCAGCAGCTGATGGTGCTACAGCAGCAGCAGCTGACCATGGTGCAGCAGCAGCTGACTGTGGTGCAGCAGCAGCTGACCATGGTGCAGCTGACCATGGTGGCCCGGTGGCCTGGTGGCTAAAGCTCCTGCATCACACACGGAGGGCTCGGGTTCGATTCCCAGGGGTGGAAACATTTCGACACATTTCCTTACACCTATTGTCCTGTTCACCTAGCAGTAAATAGGTACCTGGGTGTTAGTTAACTGGTGTGGGTCGCATCCTGGGGGACAAGATTAAGGACTCCAAGACAGTCCTCGATGATGCACTGACTTTCTTGGGTTATCCTGGGTGGCTAATCCTCTGGGGTTAAAAATCCGAACGAAATCTTATCTTATCTAGCAGCAGCTGACCGTGGTGCAGCAGCAGCTGACCACGATGCAGCAGCAGCTGACTGTGGTGCAGCAGCAGCTGACCGTGGTACGACAGTATTTCACTAGAAGCTTTCTTTGGGCCTATGGTAGCTTATTTAGCATTTACAAGCACTAAAAACACTGGAATAATACAAAATTTATCAAATGTATGTGCGCAACCGTGTCTGCCCTGGCTTGTAAACAATGTCACACTAGCTCAACTGAGGCGCTCAGGCCAGACAGATGCGTGGACGCGTACAGGACGAATGATGTAGGTCGAGTTTTTCAAAATATGTCAGGGTCAAATTTTTATGCTGACAAGCATCCTAAGTCGGTTTTAACGTAGGTTGAGGACATCATAAGTCAGGGGTTCACTGTATTTCAGGTGTTAATAAAAAAATATATAAATTGACATTTTGTAGGGTTGTGAATCACCTGGGGTCTGAGTAAAATGCATACTGGGAGGCTTGCCCATGGTGGACATCCCAGTCAACTATGAGGATGCGTGACAAGCCATGTTTTTCTAAGGCATGACGAGCTGCTAAGGCCACATTGTTTATGTAGCAGAACCCACAGATCTCTGACTCCATAGCATGATGGCCAGGTGGTCTGAAAAGAGAAATACATGTATAAATTTATACATTAAAAAGCAAAAAAAATAAATAAATAAAAATGATGTAAGAACACAGGTTTGTGACTGGTGTATGAAAAAGAAAAATGAATAACTCAGTACAAAATACATGTACTATACTGCATTTGTTAAGTTGTTTTTGTAATTTTTTTTTTTAACAAGTCGGCCGTCTCCCACCGAGGCAAAGTGACCCAAAAAGAAAATACTTTCATCATTCAACACTTTCACCTTACTCATACATAATCACTGTCTCTGCAGAGGAGCTCAGATATGACAGTTCAGTAGTCCCTCCAAACTGTCAATATCTCAGACCCCTCCTTTAAAGTGCAGGCATTTTACTTCCCATTTCCAGGACTCAAGTCCGGCTATATCAAAATACAGTGGACCCTCGACCAGCAATATTAATCCGTTCATGAGAGCTCATCGTTAATCGGAATTATCGTTAGTCAAGTTAATTTTCCCCATAAGAAATAATGGAAATCAAATTAATCCGTGCAAGACACCCAAAAGTATTGAAAAAAAAAATTTTACCACATGAAATATTAATTTTAATACACACAAACTGAAGAAGACATGCACAGTTACATGACACTTACCTTTATTGAAGATCTGGTGATGATTGATGGGATGGGAGGAGGGGAGTGTGTTGATGGTGTTAGTGTTCAGGAGGGGAATCCCCTTCCATTAGGACTTGAGGTGGCAAGTCCTTTTTTGGGGTTACTTCCCTTCTTTTAATGCCACTAGGACCAGCTTGAGAGTCACTGGACCTCTGTCGCAAAACATATCTGTCCATAGAGGCCTGTACCTCCCGTTCCTTTAAGACATTCCTAAAGTGTTTCACAACATTGTCAGTGTCACAATTAAACACTTGTTCAGGTTTCAATTCTTCACTGTCTATGTACTCCTTGAATTCCTGCACATATTTTTCAGCTGCTTTTTGGTCCAAACTGGCAGCCTCACCATGCTTTATCACACTATGTATGCCACTACGATTCTTAAATCTCTCAAACCAACCTTTGCTGGCCTTAAATTCACTCACATCACCACTAGTTGCAGGCATTTTTCTAATTAGATCCTCATGCAGCTTCCTAGCCTTTTCACATATGATCGCTTGAGAGATGCTATCTCCTGCTATCTGTTTTTCGTTTATCCACACCAATAACAGTCTCTCAACATCTTCTATCACTTGCAATCTCAGTTTTGAAAACATAGTTGCACCTTTGGGGAGAACAGCTTCCTTGATTGCCGTTTTCTTGGCCACAATAGTAGCGATGGTTGATTGGGGTTTTGTGTACAACCTGGCCAGCTCGGAGACACGCACTCCACTTTCATACTTAGCAATGATCTCTCTCTTCATATCCATAGTAATTCTCACCCTTTTTGCTGTAGGGTTGGCACTAGAAGCTTTCTTGGGGCCCATGGTGACTTATTTTGAAGATTGAGACACTTATGCACCATATGGTGCATAAGTGTCTCAATCTTCAACTTGCCGGTTTTCAAAACCATTCATCATGACTTATTTTGCAGGTGCAATCACTAAAAAGGCTGTGATAATATGAAATGTTCCGATTGAATGCTTGGAAGCGACCGCGGTGGCTGGCTGGCTTGTAAACACTGGCCAGAAGTGGACGTGTCTCAGACGGAACGAATAGTGTTGGTCGAGTTTTTTAGAGCTAGTCGAGGCAAAATTTTTGCGTTAAAATGTATCGCTGGTTGGATTTATTGTTAATCGAAGCCATCGTTGGTCGAGGGTCCACTGTAACAGGTTTCCCTGAATCCCTTCACTAAATATTACCCTGTTCACACTCCAACAGCTCGTCAAGTCCCAAAAACCATTCGTCTCCATTCACTCCTAACACGCTTACACATGCATGCTGGAAGTCCAAGTCCCTCACACACAAAATCTCCTTTACCCCCTCCCTCCAATCTTTTCAAGGATGACCCCTACCCCGCCTTCCTTTCCCTACAGATTTATACGCTCTCCATGTCATTCTACTTTGATCCATTCTCTCTAAATGACCAAACCACCTCAACAAACCCTCTTCAGCCCTCTGACTAATAATTTTATTAACTCCACACCTTCTCCTAATTTCCACATTCTGAATTTTCTGCATAATATTTACACCACACACTGACCTTAGACAGGACATCTCCATTGCCTCCAAACGTGTTGGAGTGTTGGTACTACTATACTTTCATACATTTCCTTCTTTGCCTCCATAGATAACATTTTTTGCCTCCACATATACCTCAATGCACCGCTCACCTTTTTTTCCTTCATCAATTTTATGATTAACCTTACCCTTCATAAATCCATCCGCTGACACGTCAACTCCCAAATATCTGAAAACATTCACTTCTTCCATACTCCTCCTCCCCAATTTGATATCCAATTTTTCTTTATCTAAATCATTTGATACTCTCATCACCTTACTATTTTCTATGTTCACTTTCAACTTTCTACATTTACACACACTCCCAAATTCATCCACTAACTTTTGCAATTTTTCTTTAGAATCTCCCATAAGCACAGTATCATCAGCAAAAAGTAACTGTGTCACTTCCCATTTTGCATTTAATTCCCCATAATTTAATCCTACCCTCTCCCGAACACCCTAGCATTTACCTCTTTTACAACCCATCTATAAATATATTAAACAACCATGGCGACATTACACATCCCTGTCTAAGACCTACTTTTACCAGGAAGTAGTCTCCCTCTCTTCTACACACCTAACCTGAGCCTCACTATCCTCATAAAAACTCTTTACAGCATTTAATAACTTACCACCTATTCCATATACTTGAAACATCTCCCACACTGCTTCCCTATCTACTCTATCATATGCTTTTTCTAAATCCATAAATGCAATAAAAACTTCCCTACCTTTATCTAAATACTGCTCACATATATGCTTCAATGTAAACACTTGATCTACACATCCCCTACCCACTCTAAAACCTCTTTGCTCATCCGCAATTCTACATTCTGTCTTACCTCTAATTCTTTCAAAAATAACCCTACCGTACAATTTTCCTGGTATACTCAGTAAACTTATTCCTCTATAATTTTTACTATCTCTTTTGCCCCCCTTCCCTTTATATAAAGAGACTATACATGCTCTCTGCCAATCCCTAGGTACCTTCTCCTCTTTCATACATTTATTAAACAAAAATACCAACCACTCCAACACTATGTCACCCCCTGCTTTTAACATTTCTGTCATGATCCCATCAGTTCCAGCTGCTTTACCCCCTTTCATTCTACGTAATGCCTCATGCACCTCCCCCACACGCACATCCTGCTCTTCTTCACTCCTAAAAGATGGTACACCTCCCTGGCCAGTGCATGAAATTACCGCCTCCCTTTCTTCATCGACATTTAAAAGTTCCTCAAAATATTCTCGCCATCTACCCAAAACCTCCATCTCCCCATCTACTAACTCCCCTACTCTGTTTTTAACTGACAAATCCATTTGTTCCCTAGGCTTTCTTGACTTGTTTAACTCACTCCAAAATTTTATCTTATTTTCATTAACATTTCTTGACAGTACCTGTCCCAATCTATCATCCGCTCTCCTTTTGCACTCTCTCACCACTCTCTTCACCTTTCTTTTGCTCTCCATATACTCTACTCTTCTTATAACACTTCTGCTTTGTAAATACTTCTCATAAGCTACCTTTTTCTCTTATCACATCCTTTACTTCATCATTTCACCAATCACACCTCTTTCCTCCTGCACCCACTCTCCTATAACCACAAAGTTCTGCCCCACATTCTAATACTGTATTTTTAAAACTATTCCAACCCTCTTCAACCCCCCCCCCTCACTACTCATACTTGCACCATCCCACCTTTCTGCCAATAGTTGCTTATATCTCACCTGAACTTCCTCCTCCCTTAGTTTATACACTTTCACCTCCCTCTTACTTGTTGTTGCCAATTTCCTCTTATCCAATCTACCTCTTACTCTAACTGTAGCTACAACTAGATAATGATCCGATATATCAGTTGCCCCTCTATAAACGTGTACATCCTGGAGCCTATCCATCAACCTTTTATCCACCAATACATAATCTAACAAACTAATTTCATTACATGCTACATCATACCTTGTATATTTATTTATCCTTTTTTTCATAAAATATGTATTACTTATTACCAAACCTCTTTCTACACATAGCTCAATTAAAGGCTCCCCATTTTCATTTACCCCTGGCACCCCAAATTTACCTACTACTCCCTCCACAACATTTTTACCCACTTTAGCATTGAGATCCCCAACCACAAGTACTCTCTCACTTGGTTCAAAACTCCCCACACACTGACTCAACATTCCCCAAAATCTCTCTCTCCTCTACACTTCTCTCTTCTCCAGGTGCATAAACACTTATTATAACCTACTTTTCACATCCAACTCTTATTTTACACCACATAATCCTTGAATTTATACATTTATATTCCCTCTTTTGTAGGTAGTAAGTTGGTAGACAGCAACCACCCAGGGAGGTACCACCATCCTGCCAAGTGTATGTAAAACTAAAGCCTGTAATTGTTTTACATGATGGTAGGATTGCTGGTGTCTTTTTTCTGTCTCATAAATATGCAAGATTTCAGGTACATCTTGCTACTTCTACTTACACTTAGGTCACACTACACATACATGTACAAGCGAATATATACACACACCTCTGGGTTTTCTTCTATTTTCTTTCTAGTTCTTGTTCTTGTTTATTTTCTCTTATCTCCAAGGGGAAGTGGAACAGAATTCTTCCTCCGTAAGCCATGCGTGTTGTAAGAGGCGACTAAAATGCCAGGAGCAAGGGCCTAGAAACCCCTTCTCCTGTATAAACTACTAAATTTAAAAAGAGGAACTTTCGTTTTTCTTTTTGGGTCACCCTGCCTTGGTGGGATATGGCCGGTTTGTCGAGAGAAAAAAAAAAAACTTTTCCTGCCATAACTTACCTTTAACATTTT